AATGTTTATACCCATATGTTCAAGGAAACTGTGAATGAACAAAGATAATGAGTTGCAAAAAAATAAAGACTCCTCAAATATGGAAAGACTTGCAGAAAAGACTGGCAACTGAAAAACATTAAAAAATTTGACTGCCCTTATGTATAAGGTTCACTATATTAGTACAGATGTTTGAAACATCAGTCACGGGCTTGCTTACTATGCTATTTCTTTATGCCTTATACATGTACAAGTTTGAGAAAAGAGGACAAAATACCAGATGATATGATGGAAGTGAGGGATAAATGACAAAATTTTTCTTTTGTTTTCTTTAGACCTCGCTGGAATCCAAGCAAATGCAATGGTAAAGAAAAACTCCACCGGGGTGACTGAGTTTGTCCTCCTGGGACTGACAGATCGAGCTGAGCTGCAGCCTGTCCTCTTTGTGGTATTCTTAGTCATCTACTTTATCACAGTAATGGGCAATGTGAGCATGATTTTGTTGATCAGAAGTGACTCAAAACTTCACACTCCAATGTACTTCTTTCTCAGTCACCTTTCCTTTGTAGATCTCTGTTATGCCACCAACATCACTCCTCAGATGCTAGTTACTTTTTTTTCCAAGAGAAAAACCATTTCCCTCACCGGTTGTGTTATACAATTCCACTTTTTCATTGCCCTGGTGATCACAGAATATTACATACTTGCAGTGATGGCTTATGACCGCTACATGGCCATCTGCAAGCCCTTGTTATACAGCAGCAAAATGTCCAGATGTGTCTGCCTTTCTCTGGTTGCTGCTGCTTATATTTATGGCTTTGCAAATGGTCTGGTGCAGACCATCCTGATGCTTCGTCTGACCTTCTGCGGACCCAATGAGATCAACCACTTCTACTGTGCGGACCCACCTCTCATGGTTCTCGCCTGCTCAGATACTTATGTTAAAGAAACTGCCATGTTCGTAGTGGCTGGTTCCAACCTCACCTGCTCTCTCACTATTATTCTCATCTCCTACGTTTTCATCTTCGCAGACATTCTGCGCATCCGCTCTGCTGAGGGGAGGCAGAAGGCCTTCTCCACCTGCGGGTCCCATCTGACAGCTGTCACTATCTTTTATGGGACGCTGTTCTGCATGCACTTGAGGCCCCCTTCTGAGGCGTCTGTAGAACAAGGAAAAATCGTAGCTGTCTTTTATGTATTTGTTAGTCCTATGTTAAACCCTTTGATCTATAGCCTGAGGAACAAAGACGTTAAAAGAGCAATAAGGAAAACTATCCAAAAGAAATTATGTGCTAAATAAGGTAGACATTTCAGTCACAGGTATGTAACATATCCTTAGTATCTGACCAATTAATGAGCATTTTAAATTACAAATCACTTTCAGTCACTGAGTATTTTTTGTCTTTCATAATTTGCATTTAGAATTGGAAGTATACATAAATTTATTAGCTAGAGTTTACTGTACCTTCTCAGTGGATTGAAAAATAAAATACCGAAATTCAAATACAAGACCAGAAAGCACTCTTATTACTCTACAAAACAATAAAAAAATGGATGATTCCATCCATACTGCTCATACTGGCACAAAGTTATGTAAATAGATATATCAACCGCTATGGCAGTGACAATTTATTAGGTTTTTGCAGTGCTTAATAACTTCTAAACTATTTTTTAGAAATTTGTGAACCATAGTAGGTGAGGTTTCTTTGTTTTTT